TCGACTAATCGGAAAAAAAATAATTGATGATTAGTCGACTATAAGAATAATCGTTTGTTGCAGTCCTACTCAAAATGTGTGACTAATGTCTACAACCAGACAAAGGAAAATACAAGTAGAGGAGGGAAACGGTGACACTGGAGGTTCAGTAAAAGAATAAAAATTAAAATAGTTTCTATGTTGCAGAAAGAGAGTAACTTCAACTGCCCGCAATTTGATGATCAATATGAAGTATTTATACATTTTAACAGCTGATCTGTGATGAAAATAAAAATACCGTCAAATATCGTGACACAAAATTTGGGTCATACCGCCCAGCACTATTCTCATCCCATCTATCCTGCAGAGAAAACTCATTTTGACCACTTGTTCTTTAGGTAACTACCCAAAGTTCATGGCCATAGGTGTGGAGTGTAGACTGATCGGTAAACAGAGCTTTGCCTTACAGTTCAGCTTCCTCTTCACCACAACAGACCAGTACAAAGTACGCAATACTGGGGAAGCCACATAGATCCATCCCTCAATCTCACAAACTGGATTGCTGCAATATTAAACCAGTCTCAATAACTTCATAGCAGTTYGTGTGAATTTTATTACATAAACATTTACACAACCATCAATTTTGTATTGTACAGCTCTTGTGGTAACTATATTTTGAWATTTCTACAAAAAATGTGCCAGGGTGCACTGGAAATGCTACATCTGGCGATCGCTGCTGTGCCTTGCACCATGCAATGAAAAATTTAAAGCAGTGTAAAAGTTTATAAAAGGGTGTTCTCATTAACTTGGGAACTATTTGCGATTGGAGTCGTTTCAAGATGGCAGCAATTCACTTTGTTATTGGACCCACTTGGATTAGCCCATAACTTGTTAATCTGGTCAAAATTAAACATTATTTATTCAAACTGAAGTGGTTCAAAGACCTATTCTTAACAGGTAAGATATTAATAATTGTTCATTAACCCTGCTTCAAATGATCTGAACAGTTTCAAAATTAGATGTGTCGATAAAAGGTTATTTTTGAGACTTTAAATGAAACAGCCCAAGCTACATTTTTTGCTAAACCTACCCCTGATTCCCTGTAATAGCTTATTTGTTTACAGGTGTGGGACCTGTTTGAGAGTATTCCGGTTTGAAAAGAACAAGTCTATGCTGGTTTTGACATGGCTCATTCCTGCTCACAACAATTTACTTTTGCCAGTGTGTCGTGGATCCTTTCCCTTTGCTATAGCTGTTTGAGGTCAGCTTTTGGGTATAAAAAGAAAGCAAGCACCAATTAACTAAAGCAGGACAGCTGCTAAGTAACAGAGATCTGCACTTGCACAAAGCAGGGGCCTCTTTCTGCCATGTGTGTGTGTGTGTGTGTGTGTGTGTGTGAGTGTGTGTGTGTGAGTGTCTGTGTGTGTGTGTGTGTGTGTGTGTGTGTGTGTGTGAGTGTGTGTGTGTCAGTGTGTGAGTGTGTGTTTCAGTTATCAAACATCTGCCACAGACGACAAGAAAAGGCACAGGCCTCCTCTTGTTAACTCCCTCTGTACCACAACATCTCAGCTTTTCTCCTCAGCTCTTCACTGCAGGTGACTGTCATTCAGGCTTTTTGTTGCTTATTTTGACTCAGTAATGAAATCAAACCACTGTAAACATGCAAGATTRTAAAACCATCTGGCCCAGTTAGTCATATTTATCAGTTCAGATGAAATCACTCTTATTTAAGCCAGCTGCAAACAAGCGGTGTGTGCTGTTGGCCTCAGATCCACATTCACTATTGTGACGTCACCCGTGCACCTTACACATGAACAGTAATATTCTAAAAACTGATTCAGATAAGCCATTGTCTCCTATCAAGTTTCCTGTTCTCACTTTGTCCTTGTGATGTTCAAAATAAAAATAAAAACAACCTCTCTCTCTCTTTGCTCCCTCTGTTTTGTTGTTTTTCAGGATATGATGTACCAGCTGCTTCAGGGGCTGGACTTCCTGCACTCGCACCGCGTGGTTCACCGTGACCTGAAACCCCAGAACATCCTGGTCACCAGCGGAGGCCAGATCAAACTGGCCGACTTCGGTCTGGCGCGCATCTACAGCTTCCAGATGGCGCTCACGTCCGTGGTGAGTTGCGTTGGTCGTACACCTGAGCAAGAGCGGGTCCAAATAACAAGATCTCCCAAAGAACAAGTGCACAATTCGGCACTCCCATCTGGATGCTAAGTGTTCTGTGTATCATAGCAGTCACTTTCATGGTATCAGAGTAGTTTTTGAGTACTAGGCCACATGATAGGATTCCTCTGCATAAAGCGAGAGCAAAAAGGGCCCCTCAGCCTTGTCCCTTCCTCTGTCTTCGGTGTGGCCCGTCTTGGTTACAGTCGCAGGGAACGATAGAACAGAAAAGAAGAGACAGGCACCCCTCCCTTCTCGCTGTCGGTGCTTTGATGTCCAACTGTTGCACTCTGGGCTCTGATGACCAGATAATATAGAAAGAGCGACTGAAGGGAGTCTTTGAAATAAAGAGAGATGAGACTTTTAAGATCAAAGTAGGCCGCACCAGTAGCTCAGCTCATTTCAAAGAGACTTCTGTTTTGTTTTAAATGGGGTTACGTAGAGTTCCTATGAGTGGTCTGTGTCTTACCTGCAGCAGACCAGAGTCAGAATGATCTCAGTTTAGAAAACGTAAAGGAACTTTCAAAAGAGAGTCAAAACAAAAGCTAATCACAGCAGAACCTATTACTAAATAGTTTTTTTGTGTCTCAGGCAGCACAAGATGAATTGTTTTAGCAATTTGAACAAATGTTAACTACATATTTTTCACCTCATGAGTTGTTCCACACTAATTTTATTTGATATTTTCAAGCAAACAATGTTGTTTCACATAATTGCATGTAGCTAAACATATATTTCTATAGATCCACTGAGTCGCAGTTCTTTTAGTTTTATCTCAAAACAATTAAACATTATGAGTTTGTGAAAGTGGATGTGACTTAGATTTATTTCTGGTAGAGATGATGGTTCATAGAACACTTGACCAATCAGAGTTAATAGTAGCTGTATAATTCTGTTTTTAACATTAAATTTGGTTCTGATTTATATCAGTAGATCACACCAGTTTTAGATCATTTCATGAGAAGGAACAGTTATAGCTATTTTTGTCAAACACTTTTAATGTACTTTCATGTGATTGTAAAATCACGCGAGGTGGATTAGAGTTCAGAAAATCAAACGTGAGCTAGAAATCTGTACTAAATGGCTGAGTGATAACCCATTTTAATCAGTCTTAAATGTACATCCAATGTTAACTTTTGAGAGTTTCATTAAAATACATCTAGTGATTCATAACATGCTTTACTAACCCTACAGCCAACGCTTTCTGCTGTGTAGTGACTTATTAKAATACATTTATTGGTACCTTTTTATATAGTTTGGTTTCATTTCAGTATTTAGGTGGTTAATTGATGTCATTTGTAAGAATTCACATCTAAGTTAAATTAGCATATTGTTACACAATCTGTTATGTGTGGTTCCACTTGAGGGTTTGTCTTAGTTTATTCTCTTTATGAGTACATGGGGACACTTTTTGTTATGAGTTAAAACACCTTGGGAATTCACCTTTTATATACCGTACAAGTGACAGATATCGTCCCCAAAATTACTCACACACAGACAAAAATTTTATATATATGTATATATATATATATTCATACATACACACACACACTTACCACTTTAAATGTGTTTGCTCACACATTCATACACTCATTTCCTTCCTCAGTTATACAGATTGGGCCACAAAATCAAATGTGTGTTCAGTGCATGGATGTTGCACGCGCAGAGCTCTGCAACATGAGCATGGGATCTTTGGTTCCACATGAATGTCCCTATGTCTGGAATCCCCCTATCAGCCTTACACACACACACACACACACACACACAAATCTCTATTCACCCATTCTTCGTTTCCTCTTGCTAATAAAAGCACACAATCTACCCTACATGCACGGCTCATGTACACAAACACACATACGGCTGAAGAGAATCTTCCTCTTTGCCCAACAGAGCAGCAGTTACTTATTTAGTCACCTAATACCACCGTTACTGGCAGACTGAAGGGGTTTTGGAGAACTGCCATTGCTTAAGCGAACGGGGCAAYTTTTCTCACTTTCAAAGTGATTCATTTAGTACTTTTCGAATGACACGATGGCTGAAATGAACATTTGCATGAAACTGTGAAAGAGTCCCTTTTACTGACTTTTGTTCCAGTGTTGCTAACTGAAAGTTGCACTGTTAATGCTTTCTGCTGATGAGCTAGCAGCAACGGTTGAACTTCTCTGTTTGCAATGAATTTGCTTTCGCACCTCTCAACAGGCAGGTTTGTTGATATGTCATTGACAAAAAAAAAATGTGGTCATGGTGTGTGTGTGTGTATCCAAAAAGCGAACGTGGAGTCCTTGGCTGCGTGCGACTTCCGGCTCCATCTGCATCACTCAACCATCCTGTCTGACTTTCAGAGAGGGAGGGAAACCACCCATTGGACTGATGTGGGGTCCAGATTAGGTTGCTTCTGGAAGTCCCCAAGGGACTGTYGGTTTTGTTGACGGTTTTTAAAGACCCCAGCCTGGCTACAACTTCATTGTGCTGCCTTGAGTGACAGGAAGATAGGAAAAGCCGATGGGCTAATCAGATACCCCAAAAAGAGCGAGGAATTTGCGAAAGTATTCTCAAAGTATCTTAACAGCCGAACACTAGTAGCTTGGACACTTTTGACTAAAGAGCCAGCTACACAACAAACTATTAAATTAAATTTAGATTTGCTTCATCATATAAGGCTTAAGATTTCCTTCTGATTGGCAAAACTGCATAATTTATTGCTCCTGGGTTGCAAAGGCTTTTGTCCAACCTCTGAATAAACCCGTGAGAAATTGGCCAGATGAATATTTAGACCACACTCTCCAACTGGCTGAGACGTTGGGAAAAAATGTGTTAAAGYATATTTTGACCAGTTTATCAGAAGGCACATTGAGGCCATTCACACCTGTATTTAATGCTATCTGATTGCGATCAGATTATCCAAAGGTCAGCTTTGTTAAAACATCTTTATTAGGTCGGATCARTTTAAGAGGAGGAGATGAACTCACAACCCTTTATCTAAAGTTAACACAAGATTGTAATTTAAGGAAGATGTTTTCAAAACCTTTTGGGGTCTGTTTCTATAATGTCTGAACATCAGCAACTGTTGTAGCAAAAAAAAAAAATTRTGGAAGACCTCTTGAAACAACAGTTTCCACTCATGTGCATGGATTTGGAAAATCTCAAAGGGATTTTTAATGCAAACTGTAGCTGTTTTCTTTCTTGTTTCAAAATAAAAAGAGACTGAGGTGTTCACGTAGTTGACATGAGTTGAGAGGTTTATTAGTGAAAARATGCTTGCCTCTTATCTAACGTCAAAGGAAGTTTTATTACTCTAAGACGAGTTACCTTATTGTTGTCAAATGAATCATTAATTATCACTGTTATTGTTGGCGTTATTTAAATAGTCCTTTTACAGATGTTGGTTTGATTTCCTGTGAAACTGTTGGTGGCGAAGCAGAGGAGTGAAATTGTTACCTGACTGAAGGTATTTTCCCACCGCTTCCCTCTAGTTCCCTCCGCTCATGGACCTCCCACTGCTCTTACTAGAATAAGACACCCATATCTCAGACGACATTAAACAAATTGAAACCAGATTTCCTGCCCTCGCTCAAGCTGCAGACGGGCTTTTTTTACAGTGCAAGAGAAGCAGTTTCACTCTTGTTTGGTTTGGATGCCGTTTGGCGTTTTAAAATATTAGGTTTGCACGTGCGTTTGACTCTGAATAACAGAGTTTGTTGGTGTGGTTGAGAATAGATTCTCATGTTCTCATTTGTGAATTGCTGTTTTTATTTTAGACTGTGCTCACATTGCAGGTATGGCTGCTCAGTTCTGATCACGGGTACAAGTTTTTTGTGTTGGTCCTCATGATTTCAATGTGACCTCCATCAGRCTCCAGTGTGAACAGTCCACAGTCCTGAAGCGACCTGTTTGTGCCAAAGACATGACGTCACAAGAAGCACGCTGTGTTTACAGAAGTAAATATGGTTGCCACACATATGTGTGTATCGATTCTGAAGTTGTTGAGCACTCAGATCCCATCACTGTAGTATTGATAAAATCCAACAAATTGGTATACCAGTGTTAGTATTATAATGTTGGTGTAAATTTTCAACCAAATGATATGACAAATCTAAAAAGTTTAACAAAAGACAAAGCAACTGGAATTTTGTTCTGCAGCTGAAGATGAGCTGAGTTTAAGCTTTTAACTACGTAATGCTGGATTCAATGTCATCAATATTTAAATTTATCCATATTTCTCCTGCCTTAGTGATGTAAAAGACAGATAAAATGCCACATGTCAACATAACAAAAATATTGAATATGTATTGATTTAGTTCCATGTTTAAAAAAAAAAAAGAAAAAATGGATTTGTTACATTCAGACTGCCATTAAAAATAATATAGGCAAACAAAAAAAAAAACATTTGGGTCAATTGCACCTGCGGTGTGAAAGTAGCCTTGTGGTGAAATGCTGATAAGTTGGACAAGGAGGGCGTTTGTAAATTTCTTTAAGATAAAGTCTTTCTTCTCTGGATGTGCAAGAAGTAAGGCAAGCAAGCTGTGTCATGGGGAGGAACGTGGGCGGTTGTGGTGG